CTGGGCAAAGAATGTGAACAGGCAACTCACAGAAGAGAAACTCAAATGCTCAAATCTGTTTGTAAATCAAGGAATTACAAATATAAGATGTGTATTTGTCTGTGGCTTGTCTTAACTTTGAAGAAGATTTTCAGATAGTTTGTTTTTATTGTTTGACAAAAACAAGATACTGTTTAATAGGGAACTTTTGAACAGAGCTACAGCTAGCACTTAGAGTGTCTTTGAACAATTTAGAAAACGGAGCTCCCTCTTGACGTACAAAGAAAAATGTCTCTTCAGTAAGGTGAAGGGCAGATTTTAGATCCACTTGTGCCAGGTACCCTTGCACAGAGCACAATCTACATATCTGTACATGATGCCCTGCACCTGGAGCATGTCTCTGGAGCCTTAGGTTTTCACAAAGAACACTGTGAAAATTACTGCTAAATGCATGGTGTCATTGAAGGGCTTTAAGCAAGGAAGTGAGACTATTATTGTTTGTTCTATGTGGTTTTAAGAGTACTTTGCATTTGCAGAGAATGTTATAGAATTTCAAAGTATTTTAAAATATTTGAAATACTTTTATAAGTAGACTTTCATTAAGTCAGCACCAAAATCCCTACGGGTATATAGGGTATTTGTTTTCTCCTAACTTTACATACAAAAAGCTGAGGTTAAAAGTATATTTTCACTTGTACCCCCACTTTTTCCAAAAGACAATAAAAGATCAAGTGAGCTGTACCAAGATCTCAGTCTCATAGCTATTGGAATTTCTCTTCCTTTATTGGTTTTTAAAAATATTTTATTGTAAATGAAACCAGATACAGAAAACCACACAATACCAATGTATAGATTAATGAATTATCATAAGGCAAACATCTAGAACTCTTGTAATTATAACCAAGTTAAGAAATAGAACTTTTCCAGGCATCCCACTAACTTTTCAATGTGCCCCATCCTAATCATAATTTTTCTTCCCCCAAAAAGTAGCCATTATTTTTTCTTTCATAATAATAATGGGTTTTGGCCCATGTATTGTTCCCAGGACCTCTTAGCTCTAAATTTGTCTTTTGACTCTCAGTCAAGAAAGAATGTTGGAATGTCAGTGGTGAGACTGATAATATATTATCAGGAATATTAGTTTTATATTTAAAAATACTCTGCCAACTTTAGTACTCTATTGTTAGAAACAAATTACTTGCCACATACTGTACAACCAACCTTAGCACACTAGTTGTAAATCAACATTTTAGACTATGTTGCTTAGCTGCTTGAATATAGTGCTTTAAAAAATACCTTGTATTCCTCTAAAAACCTTAAATAACATTTTTATTAGTAGGAGAGTTGGGTAGCATACATAGCTGTAGAGTCAGAGGAGTTGGTAGTTTGCTGGAGCTATAGTTTCTTCTTATTTACAAAGAGCATATAGCACATAAGGCCTGATAACCGTCTCTTTTGTTGAAGGAGGAGGTTTTTATAATCTGTTGTTTGTAAAACTGGACCAAACTCTGTCATTTACATAGTTAACTACAACTTAGTTATAAAATATTTCCCTAGTGATGACAAACAATCTCACTGTTTCAGTTACCAATCGACTGTTAAGTGGCAGAGTGGCATATATATTTATATCGTTTATTCTATTATTTATTTTATGGTGTATATGTATTTTCTGCCTCCTTAAAAGGCAATTGTTCTAGGCAGTGTTTAATGTTATACCTGTGTGCTTTTCTGAGAAGGCCTGAACAGTTTTTAATATCTGCTTCCCACTTACTTTCCCAGGCTTTAGACCTGGTGATTTTGTTTACATACTTTGTGACAAGAGTGTAGGCAGATCCCATTACAGGGTAAATGTGTATTTGAATGACTGTGAGTGAATGCATTACTTTGAGCGCAAGTACAGGTTGTGATTAGCATTTTCTGTAAAGCTGTTATATGTAATATGTGATCACAGTTAAAACACTGTCATATTTTTCAAGTTTCAGAAGGTCTTGTGTATACTAGTCCTTATGAAAATATTGATTTAATGTTATTTCCTTATCTGTAATGGGAGAATAAAATTGGTAAAGTGTCCATTTCTGATTATTTGGTAGGAAAATTATGCTGATGGAGTATGAAGTGATTAATTGCTAGTGTTTCTTGTTTGATCTAAAAATACTTCCTAAAGCTAGTGTAGAATAATTTTTAGTTTGCATTATAATGCCATATTAAGTTGTGTATTCATGTGGTATCCATATGGAGAGTATTCTAGATTGTTTCTTTGCTAAAGTGAATTTAAGGAATCCATGTAGCACCTTCGGTAAATGACTATAGAGGTACGGTTTCCTCAGACACAGCAATGGTATAAAATCATATTCATAGATACACAGAGACCAAAGAGATCTGATTAATTTAAAGATGAGACAACAAGAGGAGTACTAATTAAAACTAGTGACCTGTCTTTTCTTTCTTTTTTTTTTTTTGAGATGGAGTCTTGCTCTGATGTTTTGCAGTGCTAAGATTGCAAATGAAGTCAAATTTATGTTCAGATAGTTTGATTAGCTTCACTTTGGACCACATTGGGGCTAAAAATTTTGACAAAGGTACAAAGGCAGTTCAGTGGAGAAAGTCTTTTAAAGGATACTTCAAATGAAGCTAGTACACCTTTATGTCTACACATGAGATTATTATATGAATCAATTAAATGGCATATATGAAAAGACCTTGTAAACTGTCAAGTAGTCATATTATGTAGTTTATATACCACCTTGCAAATTGAGATATAATATTTATAGATGCCCCTGCCTCCATGATTATTGCTAAAACTGAATACTAACCCAAACATGCTAAGGAACACTGTGTCATTAGTGGAAACAGAAAATGTTTATTTTCTGAAAGAGTGTGAATCCCAGAAATTGACTTAGTCCTTAAAAAATTATTTCCAACTATGCTGAACTGCATTACAATTAGCTAGATTCTTATTCATAAGAATGATTTACTTTAGAGAAAGACATTCTGATAAAACAACCATAGCTATTAATCAGAAACTTCATGACTCAGTACTGATGGGAAGTCACACCATGATAAAAGACAACATACCACAATTGCTTCATCAATGCAAATCTTTTAGTGTAACTAAATATTTTTCTTCTTCAAAAGTGGCAAACCAATACCTAAATTAATAATCATAGAAAAAGATCAATTTTTATAGGCTGTCCATCTTGAATTAATTTTTTCTACAAAGATGGAAAAGAAGACACAATGGATCAACTAAAATTTTAATTTTATCTACATCTTTTGTTGTCAGTATGTACCACAATTACTTCCCAGTATGCAATATACATAAAACTCACTATATAATGCACATAAAGCCACTGCAATGCTACAAGATGAATTTCTCTAAACATCCCTAACTGTAGACTGTGATGAGAATGCGACACAAACAAGAAGGAAACTTATTAACACAACTTTAACACATTTTCCATTTCTCAAGATACAGTGTTATTTAAATCAGAAGGTGTGTTTGTATGTGTGTGTTGACTTAACTCTTTCAAAGTCATTTTAGAATTGGATTGAATATGAGGAAACAAACTTGGAAACTCATTGTCTTCTTGAATCATTATATTCATGTATAAACACAAATGGATAGGTATTAGGTTAGCAGGCTTTTGTTACTGATGTTTAAACAAACCAGTTTTCACTCTGTAATGTTAATATATTGTGCACTGTGATATTTTAACAAGAACAATTTAGTTTCAGCTTTTCTAGAAGTTTATTGATGTTTTAAATCATGCTTAAAATCTCCAGTCTGTCCTACAGATTTTAAAAAGCATTATAATTATTGTAGTAAGGATATTTCAAAGCAGAGACTTTCCTTTTTAGATTCTTTGTAGATTGAATAACAGGCTGGGGAAAGCATGATCATATGAATTTTTACTTAATGTTGAGAAGTAGAAGTTAAGGGGACAAGTTACACTTTTGGTAAGAAAATATAATATTAAGTTATTTATGTTTTCAGTTGTAGGATGTTAGTATGCTAGTAAATCTTTTCAATTTCTGGAGAATTGGTTGGCTTAATGAAAAAAACAACTGATCATTTTTTATTTGCCTTTTTCAAAAAGTCCCCTGGATATTTACATTTTACTGAATCATTGAACACAGGCTTATTGAGTAGGTATTAAGGATTTTTAGTTAGTGATAAACAAAAGCTAATAGTGCTTTAAATATCTAGATACTAGATTTGGTAGACTGATTTCCACAGCAAACAAAACAAAAATCTTAACATTACCAAAAAAATTTTTTTTAAGAAAAGTTTTATCTCTCTTTATATTTTTCTCTTAGCTTTTATTGTATCAGAATACATATTAAGAACCCTAAAACTATCTCTACTCAGATCTAATAATTCTGATATTCAGAAAGACTTAAGAGGAATATTTAAAGAGGAACAACTGTGTGGAGAAAGATGATCCTTGCCGCTTATCTTAATTAGCACCACCCTCCCCTGGTTCCCCTACCCTCAAAAGTCCAAAATAACTTTACAACAATAGGGGAATGATTGAGTAAAATTGTGGGTTAAGGAAATATTATATAACCATTTAAAAGTAGTAATTATTAACCCTATGTAAAAACATGGGGGAAATGTTTATTTTTTAACATTGCAAACTTGAATACCAAATTGTTCTACTATAAGATACCAAGTTAGGAAATTGGGAAATTATGCCTAGGGTCCTTAGCCAATTTAGATGCACTAAACAATTTAGATGAGAACTATTCCGTTCTGTAGTTTCCCAGATACAGTTTTGATTCTCTCAGATATGATCAGGAGAGATTGGTGAATGTTTTTGAGAAGGGCTGAAAGTCTCTAATTTGCAGGATTTTCTCTGTGAGAAAACAGTATCTTACATGTTTATATTTGAGACTTCAGACATTTCTTAGCATTATGGATATAATGTATTGCCAGTGTCTTCCCTAAGATTTTATAGTATTTGATCTTATCATTAATTGAGTGACTGCAACTCCTAAGTATATTGTGACTTTATTTTCAGGATAAGGGAGATCTTGAAGGCATCTCGAAAATTGCAAGGTGATCCAGATTTGCCGATGTCTTTTACTTTGGCCATAGTGGAGTCTGATTCTACAATAGTCTATTATAAACTTACAGATGGATTTATGCTGCCAGACCCTCAGGTCAGTTTTGAGCTAACTGTATGCAATAATTACAAAAAGAGGAAGATTATGACCTTTTTGAATGTGACTCAAGTCATTCATAGAACTGCCACTTCCTTTGCCATAGGGAAAATTCAAGAAAAAAGTCTTGATTTCCATACCTCGGAAAACTGGTTATATTTTGTTCAAAGTAACATGTTCCTAGTAATTTTTGCCAAAAAAAAAAAATGATTTCCTTACTCTATGGAGAATTTCATGGTTTTCCACAGTATTTTCTGAAGTCATTGTCCATTTAATTATTTAGTGAGTGAGGTAGAATGTAAAGGCTAATGATAGTTGTAACTAAAAAGCACTTCTTTAGGAGATGTTAAATTGGTTGACATTTTGACAGGAATATTTTAATAAAATAAAATAAATTTTAATAAAATAAAATAAATTTATTTTATTAAAATAAAATTTATTTTAATAAAGCGAAATAAAATAAATAAAATATATGTAATTTCTTTACATACTTTGTTGGCATAATTTGGATAATTACATTAAATATCTCTGATTTTGCTTTTGGATTACATTATCAGAGAAAAGTCCATCCTGATCCTGAGTTTTTTTTTTTTTGGCAGAATATTTCTCTTAGAAGATGACATCTATGTTTCCTGATGCATGTTTTATTCATACAAGATTGGATTTGAGACCTATCAGACTACTTCATCTTTTATCTCAGAGACAGTCAGGGCTGACTTAGATAGTGAGGGTTGATTTCCCCATTCCATAAGATTTTCATTCTGAAGAATAAAACTTCCCCAGGTAGAAGACTTTTTCTTTCTTAAAAAATATAGGATAGTTTCTTAAAACTTTATTTTCTTATCTAGAGACAGTTTGATTACAGTTGTATACAGGTTTATGTCTAGGATGTGTTCAGATGGGTGGAACCTCTGTGCTGCTTTTGTCATCCCACACTCATAGTTGCCTCTTTGTTTATTGCTGCCACTGCTAGCTCATTGTTGAGACTGCCATCTCTTTCTCTTACTCAACTCTCCCAGTGTGTTTTGGCCACTGCAGCTATCTTGGAATGACATTTTATATAAACCTTGTCACCTATTTATGTCTGCTTTTTCTTCTCCAGTAGAAAGTAAAAACTTTCTTTCAATTGGTCTTCCTGTTGCAATTACTGTTATTTCTCTTTTTTGGTTAACTTTAAATCAAAACTCAAAATATGTTCATCCAGAGTGTAAACATACATGCCTTGAGTAACAGGGACCAGAAACATGCTACCCACAAGAGTTCTGGGCCTTCCTTTTCATTCTTATTAACACCATCCTTATTATGTCATAGCTTAAATATTATAAGAGAGATAGTGTGGGACAGTATCAGCCTTAAAAATGTCTTCATTAATTAGACCCAGTTATTCCACTTTTGTTAATGTCTCTCAAATTGTACGAGGCATGAAAAATTATATGCACAAAGATGTTCCAAGTGACATTATTTTTAGTATCCCAAATTATAAACCACTTAAAAGTTTGGGGTAAAGATCAGCAAACTTCTATAAAGGGCCAGAAAGTAAATATTTTAGGTTTTTAAACCTACTGTTTCTGTCATAACTTGTCAACACTGCTGTATGAAGCACAAAAGCAGCCATAGACAGTACATAAACAATACAGGCATGGCTTTGTTCCAGTAAAACTTTATTTACAAATGTGGTGCCACAGTTTGCCATCCCTGGGTCTAGGAAATAGTCAATAAAGAGATATATACAAATGGTACATAATGTACTTATTGAAAATTAGTAATGAATATTATTAAAAACATGAGAAATGTTACATTAAGTAAAAATTGCAAGAGGCAAAAGTGTGTGAGTGGGTATTATCATGGCTGAAATAACACATCAAGCATATGATAAAAAGATGACAAATTACTAACTGGTTATAGTGGGATGGGAAGCAGTAAATGGATGACTTTGTCTTTTCTCAGTGTTTGTTTTTATTTGTATTACTTTTATAATAAAAATGTTTTATAATTAAAAAGTGTCTTGAAATCTATATTAGTTATCATTACAAAATAATATTACCACAAATGTAGCAACTTAAAACAACACACACTTATTATCTCACAGTTTTTGTGGATAAGGGACCCAAGCACAGATTAGTTGCTTCTTCTATAAGCCTACAGTCAAGGTGTTGGCAGGGCTGCAGTTTCATCTGAGGCTTGACTGGGGAAGGGTCAGCTTTTTCACCACATGGTTATTAGTAGCCTTCAGTTCCTTTAGAGTGCTCAGTGCTTACATGCTGTTGGCAGGAGGCCACCCTCAGTTCTTTGCCACATGGACCTTTTCAATATAACTGGTTGCTTTCTCAAAGCCAGCAAAGGAGAGTCTCAGCAAGATGGACCTTATAATCTTATATAATGTAATCACATACTTCCCATCACCTTTGCCATATTCTGTTGGTTGGAAGCAGGCCATAGGTCCTGCCTACACACTGGGGTTTCATGGCTGATTAAGAAACAACAATAACAAGAATGGGAAAATGATGAAAATTAGGAACATCACAAAATAGTATAAAGTATCATTCATCATCTATAGTAATTCCTTACTTCTTCCTTTGATGGTATTTGAATTTCACTTTTATTCTTGGTGGAAGGGCTCCATAACTCCTTCAGGGTCTGTCTGCTTCTCCAGAAGACATGAAGATGTATCTATTCAGAACAATATGTATTTTGGTGACTCTAGTGGAAAATTTGCAGGTCTAATAATCCTAAAACAGTTTATAATAAATTCTTAGAGTCTCTTGATTTCTTAAGCCTCTCATTTGATTCATTTTGACGTCTTTCATTATAGTGCTAGAAAAATAGAATTTTCAGAAAGAAGAATAAGGCTAATGAATATCAGATTTGTGTGTCAGATCTGTTGACCAATGGGCCCTTATATAACTACAAAACCAGAAGTTTCTTTTGGGGTTGGCTGTGAAAGGCATTTCTCAACTCTTTAAAAACTAGGATTCAATCCTACTGTATGTCTTGAGATGTTTACTCTGTTTCAGAATGTTCCCTGTGTACTTGACCAAAGTTGTTCTGTCCAAAGCCAGGCAGATACGTTGTAACATGAGTAATGGTCCATAACTGTTTAGAAAGAGAGGCCACCCAGCTGTGTAGATCTCACTTTAATAAAAAACTAGATAAAGTGATTTAAGTAATTTTGTAATCGAGTTTACATTTGTCTCCCTGTTAGACTGGACTCCTTAAGGACAGAACAAGAAATCATGTATTTTTAAATATATCTCTGTATCTTGCCTCTTTTCACAGTAACTCACATATAGTAAACTGTCAGTTAATATTTGACAAATGAATGAATGCTGATTATAGATATGTCTGATTATATAGTGGCTTATTTTTTCCCCTCAGGCAACTAAAACAATTCATTTGGACACCAGAGGGCACTGCTAGATAACCACAGCATTTTCAGACTCTAGGAGTAGATTTAACGAGACAAGTGGCTCTTGAAAATTTATTTTCAATCTGTGGGAAATAGCATAAATAAAAATATAAATAAGTTTTACATGCCCAAACCCCCTTTTTCTTTCTGGCATGACTCTAAAATTATACTGACATTAAATATGTGACTTGATTCATGCTTTGCTTGAAATGTAGATCTTTATTTAGAAATAAAAGCCTATTTAGGGTGGGGTGGATGGGGTGGGTTTTTTTTTAAATATGGATTTTTTTTTCTTATATGAAATTAAGTATTTTAGTTTTTAATTGTAAAATCCTAATTTATTAAATGAATTTCAGGATCACATCATATAGCAATAAACCCCAGCTCTGGAACACTCACTATACTGGCTAAGTGCTGGAGGTGAAAGATGTAAATTGCTCCTGTGATACATGCAGGTATGCCTCATTGTATTGCAATTCTCTTTATTCTGTTTTACAGATACTGTGTTTTTTACAAATTGAAGGTTTGTGGCAACCCTGCATCAAGTAAGATTGTTGATGCCATTTTTCCAGCATGTGATCATTTCATATCCCTGTCATATTTTGATAATTCTCACAATATTTTAAACTTTTTTATGATTAATATATCTGATATGGTGATCTTTTTATCAGGGATATTTGATGTTACTATTATAATTGTTTTGGTGTGCCACAAATCGTGCCTATATAAGACAGCAAACTTAGTTGATAAATGTTATGTGTGTTCTGATTGCCCTTTCTGCCATTTCTCTCCCTTACTTCTGGCCTCCCTAATTCCCTGAGAAACAGCAATATTGAAATTAGGCCTATTAATAACCCTACAATGGCCGCTATGTGTTTAAGTAAAAGGTAGAGTACTACATCTCTCATTTGAAATCAAAAGCTAGAAATGATCACACTTAGTGAGAAAGGCACGTCGAAAGCTGAGCTAGGCCAAAAACTAGGCCTCTTGTGCCAAACAGCCAAGTTGTGAATGCAAAGGAAAAGTTACGGAAGGAAATTAAAAGTGCTACTTCGGTGAACACATGAATAAGAAAGTGAAACAGCTTTATTGTTGATATGGAGAAAATTTGAGTGGACTACAGAGAAAATCAAACCAGCTACAACATTCCCTTAAGCCACAACCTAATCCAGAGCAAGGCCCTAACCCTCTCCTCAATTCTGTGAAGGCTGACAGAGGTGAGGAAACTGTAGAAGAAAAGTTTGAAGATAGCAGAGCTTGGTTCATGAGGTTTAAGGAAAGAAACTGTCTGCATAACTTAAAAGTACAAAGTGATACAGCAAATCCTGATATAGAAGCTGCAGCAAATTATCAAATAATCTAGCAAAGGTAATTGATGAAGGTGGCTGTACTAACAGTTTTTAAATGTAGACAGAACAGTATTATATTGGAAGAATGTCATTTAGGACTTTCATAGCTAGAAAGAAGCCAATGCCTGGCTTCAAAGCTTCAGAGGACAGGCCAATTCTCTTGTCTGGGAGCAGTGCAGCTGATGACTAAATTAAAACCAATGTTCAGCTGTTATTCTGAAAATCCTGTTCCCTGTGTACCAAAGTCAAGTACTTTTAAAATTAAAATTATGCTCAGTCTACTCTACGTGTACTCTATAAATGGAACAACAATGCCTGGATGAAAGCACATCTGTTTACAGCATGGTTTACTGAATATTTTAAGCCCACTATTGAGACCTATTGCTCAGAAAAAAAGATTCCTTTCAAAATATTACTGTTCATTGACAATGCACCTGGTCACCCAAGAGCCCTCATGGACATATACAAGGAGATTACTCTTGTTTTCATGCTTGTGAACACATCCATTCTGTAGCCCATAAGTCAAGGATTAATTTTGATTTTGAAGTCTTATTATTTAAGAAATACATTTTGTAAGTCTGTAGCTGCCATAGATAGTTACTCCTCTGATGGATCTGGGCAAAATATACTAACAACCTCCTCGAAAGGATTTGCCAGTCTAGATGTCATTAAGAGCATTTTTGATTGATATGAGCAGGTAAAAATGTTTGAAGGATGTTGATTCCAACCCTCATGGATGACTTTGAGTATTAAAGACTTTAGTGGAGGAAGCAACTGCATATGTGGTAGAAATAGCAAAAGAACTAGAATTGGAAGTGAAGCATGAAGATGTAACTGAATTGTTATAATCTCATGAGACAACATGAACATATGAGGAGTTGTTTTTTATGGAAAAGCAAAGAGTAGTTTCTTGAGATGTAATCCACTCCTTGTGCAGTTGCTGTGAACACTGTTGAAATGACAACAAAAGATTTAGAAAATTACATAAACTTAGTTAATAAAGCAGCAGCAGGGTTTGAGAAGATTGATTCCAATTTTGAACATTTTACTTTGGATAAAATGCTATCAAATAGCATCACAGTCTACAGAGAAATCTTTTGTGAAAGGAAGAGTCAATGATTTTGCCAAATTTCATTGTGATCTTATTTTAAGACATTGCCACCGCCACCACAGCCTTCAGCAACTACCACACTGATCAGTTAGCGGCCATCAATATCAAGGCAAGACCCTCCACCAGCAAAAAGATTATAATTTGCTGAAGCCTCAGAGGATCATTAGCATTTTTTGCAATAAAGTATTTTAAAATTAAGTTGTGTGCATTGTTTTTTAGACATAATGCCATATAATACAGTGTTGTGTAAATTAACTTTTATATGCACTAGGAAACCAAAAAAAATTTATGACTTGCTTTGTTGCAATATTTACTTTATTGCAGTGATCTGGAACTGAACCTTCAGTATCTCCCAGGTATGCTGGTATAAACTTTTCTGTAAAAGGGGTGCCCTCATTAGCTGGGGGCATGAAAGAGGGAAACTGCACATGAGGATTTCTCTCTGGTGCTACCGTTGCCATTCTTTTCTAGAGTCCCTAATCGGTGTGCCCTCTGTGCTAGGGCAGCTCAGTGGAATGCTAAGCTAGGTCCTATGGCTGCAGACTAAGTATTTGCTTCTCTCGCCTGAGCGTCTTTAGAAGAATGTTACTAAACACCAAAGATCTCTTGTAAAGAACATGAAGGAAGAGGTACTTTAGAATTCAAATTTACAATTAGAAGAGTAATCTACAAAGTTCATGTAGTCAGCATTTTTATTTTTTACTTTTTGCTGTAATAACTTTTCACTTTTATAAGCCTGGAACCAAATGACTTAACCAAAGCTTCTTGTTGTTTCATCTCTTTCTGAGCATTTCTGTTCTGAATTCCTCTGTGAGGTCACTTTTTCCATTGCAGCCCCTCGCAGGAGGCCTCTTCACTACAGCACAGTGATTCCTGCCAAAGTTTATAGTTCTTCTATACAGGAGCTCTTTATTCATCTGCCATATTTTACCTTGAGTGTTTACATGTGCAGAATAATGTGTTATCCTCTGAACAATTAATAGTACAATTTTTCCTTCTTTCTGGCCAATAACTGTTCTGTTCCTTACCACCCCCATTCCTGCAGCCTAATCCTTTTAATGATCTTTGGATAAGAGCTGCTTGTACTCACTGAGGAGAATGGATGGAAAAATCAAATGTCTAGTAGGTGGGTGT